TCCAATGGAACTTAAACTGAGTGTTGGAGCTGATTCTTTGTTTTGTTGAGAATGAGAGGACCTCCATAGCCAATACAAATAGGTACAGGGATAAAGGATTCCCCTGCCTTAGCTCCTTGCATTGGAAAAAATCCTTCAAGTTCTCCATTAATGTTCGCTGAGAACTTAGGAAATGCTATACAAGACCATATCCAGCTACTCATTCTAGCAGGAAAGTTGAAAGCTTCTAAAGTGTCCATCATGAACTGCTAGTCAATGGTATGATAAGCTTTCATGATATCAACATTTACAGTACATCTAGGTGATCCCCTCTCCTTGTGGTAATTATGCTAAGAGAATGTTATCACTGATACTCCTCCTTGGTATAAAGGCTGTCTGGTTAGGGTAGATGATGCCATGCAAATACCCTTTTTTTTTCTATTAATCTTGGAGATGGCTTTATAGATCACATTGCAGCATGAAATAGGCCTGAACTCACTTATAGTTGTAGGATTTTGTACTTTGGGTACAAAGGTGATAATGGTATTATTGAATTCTCTCAACATGTTCCTAGTGGTAAAAAGAACTCTGTGGTTGCAGCCATAACATCCCCTCCTATCACTGGTCAAGCCTTCTTATAAAAAGTAAGCATTGAAGCCATCAGGTCCAGGTGTTTTTTTGGTCATTGAAGGATAAAAACACCTCTTTTATCTCATCAGCAGAAACCTCTCTTATCATGTCTTCTGACTGTTGTTCATTTAGCTTTTATTGCACCATGGAGTATAGAATTCTTTTCCTTGCTTGTCCACTAGCAGTAGGACTTTTACTTCCAAGCAGTTGATGATAGAACTCCACAACTTCCCTCTTCACTGTTCTATTTCCTTCAATTGTGACCCCATATTTGTGTGAGGAGAGACATACTTTTCTTGCTGTTCCTCCTCTTAGTCATGGTCTTGAAGAAGTATGATGTATTTCTATCTCTCCTTCAGCCACAATACTCTTGATTTCTGTTTGAAAAATGATTCTTCATTTCTAGCTCCACTGGAGTAAAAGTTATCTTTCTTAGACTCTGAGGCTATAATCCATTGGATTGAGATCTAAGCTATTTTTGCACCTTTCCAAAGCCTCCATTATTGCTTCCTTTGTAATTGCAGAAACTTCTCTCATGTCTTTACTTCTAGTTTTGAAGACGGCCTTTAGTTTCTTGAGTTTGTAGCAAACCTGTAGCTGTTGTGTTCCTTGAATGGGTTCCCTCTAAATTCCTTCCACAGTAGTTAAAAAGGCCCCCCTTTTTGCCATAAAGTTAAAAAACTTAAAGTGATTCCTTCTTTCTCTTTTTTCTTGTCCAATTTTGAGAATGACAAGGTTATGATCTAAAGCACCTGCAGGTAGAAAAACTATTTTTGATTGTTGAATATTAATGTTCCATGCTTCATTTCCCAGCACCTTGTCAAGCTTCTTGACAATACATCCTTCCACAATTCTGTTATTACACCATGTGAATAAATAACCAGAAAAATCATATGTCCTCTAATTCTTCTTGTTGCAGACATTCATCAAAATCTTCATTTGATAGGCACTACCTGCTTGAACTTCCCATTGGTTCTTGGGTGTTCCTAATTGCACTGAAATCCCCTAGGACAATCCATAGGTTGGAATAGAATATCCCAACTTGATAGATAATGTATCTCCATAATTGTCTTCTCTCTTGCTCATCATTTGACCTATACACAAAAGATGCATAAAATTCCTCCCTTGTCTCTTGATTATGTATGTATAGTGCAATGAATTCCTCCCTTGTCTCTGTTTCACACTACAACAAAAATAATTTTTAGTGGCAAAAAATTCATCACTAAAAGTAAATAATTTGTCGCTAAAAATTTTATGTAAAGAAAAAAATTGGTGGCCAATTTGACGCAGTAAACTCGTCATTGAAAGTTTTTGGCAACCAATTAAAATATCGTTGCTAAAGTAGATTGTTAGCGACAAAAAATTTAGTCACTTAAAAGTTCATCTGGTCATCGCAAAAAAGCCTATGTCGCCGAAAAAAATTTGTGGTGGTATTTTCTCTCTTTGGCGACGACATATTATTTGTCGTGGAAAATTAAGGTGCATCTTTTGCGACCAACATAATTTCGACACCAAACAAAAAATAATATTTTCACCCTCAAATAATAGGCAACAAGATTCATTCACCGCCAAAAAAAGAGAGACTTTTAGCGAGTAAAATATCGCCAAACAAAATTGATTCTAAAGAGTGACATTTTATGATTACTTTTCTCCCCGTAACAAATCAAAATAAAAATAGTCTTATCGAAAAAAAAAAGAACAAATCAAAATATATTCGCTGCAGTGTTTCAATCATTGAAGATTAATAAAAAATAATAATTCATAAAACAAAATCACATAATTTCCAAAGCATCCATTTAAAAACCTCAATACAAGAACTCATACTAAAACATCTGTACAAAATCTCAATCAAAAATCCCATACCAAAATATCTATGTAAAAATCCAAAGTGAAAAAAACCAAATGTCACAATATCTAGATATCACAAGAACGCAAACAACTAATTAATTATATCTAGATGTCACAAGAACCCAAACAACAAAAAGAGAGAAGAAGAAAAAGAAGGGAAAAAGAGGAGTGAAAATGGGAGAAGGGAAGGCGGGCTTTTTTATTTTTATCTTTTTGGCCATTAAGAATAATCATTGCTAAATTAATCTTCTTTTACAAAATTAATTAAAAATTAAAAATTAAAAATTTTATCACTGACAAAAAATATTGTCGCCACAAAAAAATATCTTTTGGATGACGAACTAATATTGTCGCTAAATAGCTCATTTCCTAAATCAATCATTAATTAAAACATTATTTAATTAGCGACCACTAAGTTTGTCGCCGAAACGTAACCACCTATTGGCGCCAAAATTGGGCAATGGCGGAAATTTTTTAGCAACCACATTCAACGACAAGTATAAATTATTATTGCCAAATTTTTTTAAATAATTTTTGGCGACGAACTATAATATTGATTGTAGAATGTCTTTTTTTGGCGATAGTTTTTCTTATTTGTCGCAAAAAGTCACTGCAATAAACGTTTTTCTTATTCAACCCTAAGGATGCTTGGATTCTACCCAACCCATACTACGGCCGGCCCTAGGTAAAGCAGTGCCCAAACAAAAATTTTATAAGAGGTCCTGTTATTATTTTGTCTATTAATATATTTTATTTTTTTATTTTGGGAAATGTAAAATATTAATCAAATTTTTATATTCAAATTTTAACAATAAATCCTTTTTAATAGATAATATATTTAATTCATTCAATCTTAATTGATCGTATATAAGATTTTATCAATTTTAGTTTTAAACAAGTAATTTAATGATAAAATATGTGTGCAAAGAATAAATTTAAGATAACAAAAAATTATTCTTTACCTATGAGTTACGTGCGTGCATGAAATACAAAATTTTAATAACACCGATAATTTAAGCATAAATTATTTGGATTGAAAATTTATATCAAGACAAAAAAGGAACGAATTTTATATATTTTTACCAAAGGAAATAACGTATATAAATTTTTTATGTGAATGAGTGGAATATAACTATAAATACATTCAAAAGAGTTAGAAAAACTTAAATCAAAAAGTAAATTTAGACGAGGGGGCTCTAAAATTTGGGGACTTAGACAAGCAACTCAGCTCCATAGGCCTTGGGCCGGTCCTGAATCCATATCCTCCCCCCCTCCCCCGGTATGAGTCGTATGACTATTGTATTTGTCGATGTACTCTCAGTGTCTAAACACAGCTCTCATAGTAACTTCTTTATTAATTCTCCTGATTTTGGTCTCCACAATACCAATCATGTCCAACTGTTGTTCATTATTAATTAGGTCATGTTTGGTTAGTTTTTTAGAAATTATTTTTCCTTCTCAAAATTTCAAAAACACCTAAAACTTGTTTGTTTAATATTTTTGTTCTCAAAATTTTGAGAAAAAAATTAAGATTTGAGTCAAAGAAACATAAAACAAGTCTAACTTGTTTTTAGAGTTTTTTTTGAAAATTTTGAAACAAGGAGAATAATTTTAGACTTTAATGAGGTCTGTCCTTCGAGTCTCCTTAGTAGTAAGTTTCTTCATTCTTTTTTTTACTTCTTCATCTCTCTCATAATATAATAGATATTATAATATATAATATTATTTTATATATTATAGTATAATATATAATATAATATAATAATAATATATAATATTATAGTATATAATATATTATATTATATATATTATTATATAAATATATTATATTATATTACAATATATATATATATATATATAATATAAAATAATATTATTATATATATTATATTTTAAAGTTTGGTTTATTGAATTTTTTTTTATAAAATTATCAATCTAAAAATAATTTTTTTATATTTTTTATTAATGTTTGAATTACTGTTCAAACATATATTTAGACTGTCCAAACAGGTTTTTTTATTTTTTTCTGTGCTGTAAAATTATTTTTGAAATCATCTAATCAAACAAGTTTTTTATCTCAAAAAATATCAAAACCATTTTCTTAAAACTCTTCTCAAAAACTTTTCGAATAATATTTTTTAAAACACAAACTAAACATTCCCTTAGTTTCTTGACATCCTCCGGTCTCCAGGTTTTATTCGGCCTTCTTACATTCCAGCAAAGCAAGCCAACTATAACACGATTATAATAATTTTTTGGAGTTTAGGTGCTCCATCACCCTTGCTTTCTCTTGCTCAAAAGTTTTCTTTTTAACTTTCTTTTTCTTCAACTTCTGATTCGAGTCCATTAGCTTTGAGGTCTTTCCCACCAGTATCAGGTTTTTTGTCAGGTGATAAGTCAAGTATGATTTCTCCCCCTTCCACATTTAGACTTTCAAATCTATTTGGGGATTGAACTAGCTATTCTGGTTGTTTAAACTTTTGCCTAACATTATTATCATCATCTATAGTAGTGATGATAGAATCACTTACATGATCTTCTCCTTATGTTCTTTGCTCTATTGACTGCCTTTCATTTTCTGGATGACTGCTGGTACTAGCCACTTCTTTCCTCTGTTGACTTGTTGGGTTGTCTGCAGCTTCCCCATTATGCATTGCAACTTCCTCAACTGCCCCATTCTGTATTACAGGTTCCACCACTATCATGGGGTGTAATACTGCCATTTCTCTTTGTTGCTTGCTGGTTTCCCCATTGTCTTGGAAACCTCCTTGACTGAAAGGTGGGGATTCATTTCCCTTTCTGTGCACATTGCTTCATTATGTCCAAACACCTTACAATGGAGGCATACCTTAGGTCTCCATTGGTATTCCACCATTATTTCCAATATCTCAAATTTTCCATTTACTTCCAACTTCAAATTAAATGCCTCCACCAATTCCTTGGATGCGTCCACTTTAATGCATATTCTAGCAAAGTTGAGCATTTTTCTAGTAGAAGTCACAGTTTTTGCATATAGAGGGGTGCCCACTGCACTAGCAATGTGGCTGAACCCATCCCCATTCCAAAATTGCAGTGGAATATTGAACAGTTTGACCCACAATGGCACAGTTGAATGGTTCTCCTTGGTGATTAACAGGCCTGGTGCCCATTTTTACAAAATCAGTGGTCTCTCTAAGAATAGCCGAGGCCTAGCTTCAAATACCCTGGTTCTAGACTCGTCATCCATGAACTTGAAATAGTAAAAACCATTTTCATTGGCAAGCACCTCCAATAGGCCCATTCTATCCCACACCTTGTGTGCAATGTAGTTGACAGTAGAGAAGGGTAATTTCTTCTCTATGAAGTATTCTACAAGGCAGTTCTGCCATTCAAGACTACCTTGCATGCTTATCTCCTTTGGTGGCTCCACAACAATTCGATCAACTTGAATACTAGGTTTGTAACACTTCAGTTTCATCAACTGTTGTTGTTTGTTTGTGGTTTGGTCTCCATCCAACTGGTTTCCCCTGTTGTCGGATTGTAAAATTTGGCTCCAAGAGCACTTGGGTAAAGCCTTGTTCTGCTTGTCATTACCCACTGACTTCAGGGATTGTTAATGTGGCCTTTTGTGGTCTATTAGATTACCTTTCAATGATCTAGCATTTGACAACACACTACAATTGGGATTTGTGAGCACCTCCCTAGCTAGAATGGGTTCCGCTATCTGCCTCCTCTATTTTCCCCAGGTCACCACCCCGAATTTCTCACCTAGAAGTTTGGTATTGGATACCTCTTGGTTATTGACTGGTACTTGCGGGTGCCCATATCCATTGCATTGGCTTATAGCCTTGCTTGCTTCCAATTCTAGATGTATTTCCTTTGCATTAACCTCACTACTATTTAAGACATCTGAGGTAGTTTCTTTTGTTCTGAGTGGCTCCGTTAATGTAGTGGTTGGGTTATGTATGGATTGGCTTTAGGTGGTGGTTGAAATGTGTTAACATGAGGTGAAGTGTGAAAAATATTGGTTGAAAAACTTATGACATAGATGAGAAAATGATGTAGAGCGAGTGACTGAAATTTTGGTATTTTATTGAGCGTGGTCAATGCCGTTCAATTAAGAAAATTTAAGAGATTTTATTTTATTTCATAATTTAAGTAGGAAAATATATATATTTTGGTTTTAATTAGAATTTTATTTTATTTGGTTTTCTAATTTAATTAAGCTTCTAGTTTCTTAATTGGTTTAAAATTTCTTGCACTATTTCTATTTGTGGAAGCCTCGATAGTTTTGATTGATTAATACAATTGAGAGAATTGTCTCTTTTATTCACAATTTTTCTGGTATTCCATAGGAATAAACAACCTTATTGGAGGCTCTAGTAATGACATTCTTTGTGAATCAATAAATTTAGAGTAGGATTTTAAACTGATATTTGTGCGAAAATCAACGGTTTGTATCCCTTTTCGTACATCAAACATGTATTTCTATCTGCTACTCTACATTAGTTAGCATCAAAGCCCAATTCTGTTCATGTCAGTATTTCGCCAAGAAGACGACCTATGGATGAACTCTATTATGCCAAGATCAACGCGAGAGAAACGAAGATGGAAAAAAGTTTGAGGTGTTAATTTAGCATTTATCATCCTTAATTTCTATTGTTCAACAACTACATCAGCAACCACAACAATTACATCGACCACCACAAAATCCACTATTATTGGAGGAGGAGGAGGAGGAGGAAGAGAGTCTAGTAGACTTGAATGGGATCCCGGAGAAGATCTGAGATTTTGAAACACAGTCAAAAGAGGTATTTTTTTATAACGATTCATCTTTTCTACAGTCAGAAATTAATTGGTATATACCCCAAATATTTGATGAAGATTTAGAGGTTGATTCTCTAATTCTAATAAAAGATGATAATGAATCTCCAATGTGCGACGAATTTTTGTGAATGATCATCTTAGCAATATCCAAAATAATTATGATACTTAAATATATGATGAGTATCCAAAAAATGAATATTTTTCAAATTCTATGGCAAAAAATTGGGGCATGAAGGATGTAGTCTTCACAGAAATGACTAGGCAATTGGTGTTGTTCTCTAGCATGGAGGATGAAATGGGTGAAACTATATGTCAAGAAAAAGATTAAGACGTGGGTGCGGTGAAGGTGATCTCGGGTCATAGCAAGCCCATAGAAAAGTTGGTCGATACCTTTGATTTTTTCGCTGTCACAATTCTTTTTGGTGGATTCAAAATATTTGGTAATTATGTATAATGGGGTGGTCAAAAGTGCAAGTTCAAGCAAGTATCAACGTATCAAACTCAAATACAATGGAACGGTCGGAAGCCTAAGTTCAAGCGAAGACTTAGATTTTGAATTGAATTCGAGGACGAATACTTTCCAACTTGAGGAGACTGATGCAGAACGAGTGGCTGAAATTTTGGTAATTTAATTAGGATTCTAATTTCTTAACTGGTTTAGGATTTCTTGCACTATTTATATTTGTGTAAGCCTTAGGGCTCAATATTTTTGATTGATTAATACAATTAAGAGAGTTGTCTATTTTATTCTCAATTTTTTTGATTTTTCATTGGAATCAATAGATTTATTGAAGTATCCAGTACTGACATTCTTCGTGAATCAACAAACCTAGAGTAGAATTCTAAATCAGTATTTGTGTGCAAATCAACAATTTGATCTATTTATTACTTTTTGTTTATCAAACTTTTATTTCTACCCGTTGCCCTGCATCAGAAAAAGACAAAGGGGAAATGGTGGAAAAGGTCTCTTTGTTACTTTTCGTTCATCAAATTTTTATTTCTATCCGCTGCCCCTTATTAGAAAAAAACAAAGAGGAAATGGTGGAAAAAGTGAGGTGAAAAGATGAGAAAGTGATTGAAAAGCTTATAGAAGAGGTGAGAAAGAGACAAAGGGGAAACAGTGAGAGTATGAGAAAATGAAAAGGAAGTGGGTTGGTGGTATCAGATTTGCAATCAGACAAACGGCATCAGTGGAGAATTCAGTGGGTG